AGCACCAGCAGCAGTTGGGAGGCTTGCAGGGGGAATGTCACAGGGGGACAAAGGGGTCTGCGGGCATGGTGAAGGGCTTTTGGCAAAATGAGGCCCTTGTGTGCTGCCCAGCTCTCCTGAGAACCTCAGCAGGGATGAGCCTGATTTGAGCTGCGTCCCAGACTTGATAGCATTTGGAGAAAATAGGTGCTGTTTTTTTTTTCTTTTTAATTGCTGCTTTCTCCTCTCAGAGGCAGAGAGGAGCCACTGGGCCTGTCCAGGGCCTTGCATCCTTCTCAGGGATGCCCAACACAAAGCAATGCTCCATTGCTTCATGGGGCTGTGCCCTCCCAGCAGATCCCAGCCTGCCTTAAGGATGGCCTCACCAGCCCAAACAATTACAGCTGGCCCTAACATGGTGGCAGGACCTTCTCAGGGCCTCCAGCTGTGGGCTAGAGCAGAGCATCACTATCCCTTGGGTTCAGCACTGGGCTTGGGGAGAGGAAAAGGGCAAGGATAGGGAGCTAGGGGTATGTAGCTTCATTCTCTGCTTCTGAGTGCCATAGTGGGGAAAGCCCCACTACTCATAGCTGCATGATGGCCCCAATATGCTCCAGCCAGCCTTATCCCTCAAGACTGGGTATGGAGGAAATTCCTCTTGATAGTGGGGTTACAGATGAACAGACAGTCAGCCATGGATGGGCCTGAAAGGTTGTGGCTGTTAGGGTTCTCATTCCACATAGAAATAACACCATCAAGAGCCTTCAGGGAGAAGCAGCCAAGGCAGCCCCATCCACCCTCTCCTCTCATGCCCTCTGCGGGGGTTTCCCAGCCACAGCTCCGTTGAGGAAGGACGCTCTGGTTTCACATGCAATAAACAGCCACTCTCTGGACTTTCATGACATCACATTCCTCATATTCTCAATGATCTCACCAAGAACAGTTTGTCTCCGCAGCCAGAACAAAGTGCGGGACTCAATGGTGGGCCAAAGGGCAAAGTGAAGTGTGTTGGGTGGGAGGAGCTCGATAGGCATGTGATGCCTCACTACAGGAGCTGGGAAGGCACTTATCAAAGAGGAATGACAACCTGGTTCTGTCCGTACCAGCCAACATGAGACCATATATCAAAACAAGTTCCTGCGAACACTTGTGTAGAAGCAGATGGCTTCAAGGAGGAGGGCTGGACCCATCAGCCCATCCATGACTGACTGGGACATCCACAAAGCTTTTCTCAGTCCCCAGACCTCCTCAGGGGTTCTAGGTGCTATTGTACATCCTCCCAATGCCTCACTCCACAGAAGCACCTATCTCCTCCATAGCCCCCAACCACCTTGCTCATGCTACAGGTCCCCTCTCCCATGGTCAACATTATCCCTTCCCTCTCCCACCCCAGTTATGACATTATTTTGCAGACAGAAGACTTCAGAAAGGTAAATCTTAGGCTGTTCAGAAGTTGAAGCCAACAGCAAACAGCTGCTATGCCAGCTATGGAGTGAAGGAGTAGATCCCAATTCCCATGGGTCCTGGCATCAATTATAGCATAGACAACAGTGGCTCCCCAGGCACTGCTTCCATTTCTGTCTAGATAATGTGAAGCAGAACTGCAGAGAAGTGACAACAGAAGGTGTGTGGCTTGGTGTCCTGCTCTCACTGTCCCTTAACCAGGATAGTCTGAGGGTGATAGTGAAGCCTGGAAACAAGAGAGGGAGGTGAAGAACTTGGAAAGAAAAACAGTCCTGGGGACTGTCTAAAAAAAGGATGTCAGACAACTCCTCAGCATCTTAATGGAGTTCCAGCTGGGGGAACCAAGACACTTCATAAAACAGGAAGATTTCTCTGGAAAATCTGATTGAAACACAAGACCTATGGAAAGCAATACGAAATTGTTGATTTTAATGTGGAATAAAGCTCATGATTCCACAAGTGCAGCCAGAAGGCAAATACAAAGATGTTGGATAAGACCCATGAGGTCCAGCCAGAAACAGTTTCTATAGAACTGTTTAGTTTAGCCTGTGTGCATACAGGGTAAATATATATGTGCGTGTGTATGCCTACAAACACATATTTTTACTATATATGTACTTGTAGATGTTTGTGCAGGTGCACGCATGCAAAAGGCATGAGCTCAACAGCCCTGGCCGATGTGCAGCTGGCTGTTTGCATGTGTACAAAGGTATATGTATACACACAGAATTAACACCAAAGGGGATTTTTCCTGCCTCTCCAGCCCAGCACTTCCTCATCCCTCCTCTCTCGTCTAAGCTCTTGGGCAGGAGGATGCTCACATCCCTCAGGGCTGCTCCTTCTCCCGTTCCAGGGCAAAAGGTGGGGGAACTCCATGAGCCTTCATGGACAGCAAAAACCCTCTCCTGCCCTCCTTCTCTGCACAGCATTGCAACATCAGCTGGAGGAAGGGCTCAGCATTCCTCTGAAGTGTCAGCCTGGGCCACAGAATTGCAGTCACAGCACTGCCTGGTGCTGCAGGTTATCGTCACACACCAGTCCTGCTCTGCTCGGATACCTGCTTTCCTAACCCAACCAAATAAAAAAGCTTTTTCCTTTTATGAAGCTTATAAAACCAACACACACACACACACATATGAGTAGCAGGCAAAGGCAACAGGAGCACTACTTACAATAGGAGGGAAGAGAGATGCCATCTCCAAGAGATAAAATTTTATTACAAAATATTAGATAGATTAATAGTTGTAGGGACTGTGTAACAAACAAAAAGCATCACCGGAAAAAAAAAATAAACCTTCCACCCAAGTTTTCCAGGTCCAATTACTTTTTCTCGCTATGCTCATTCTGGGCAGTGAACGATCATGTTCAGCCCGCACAGACATGCCAAGCAATGCAGTGCTTTCCTATTTACAGCCATTCTGCTGCTATGATACAGGCTGCCAAAGCTGGGTTTGTTCTGCACAAAGCACAGGAAAGCTTGCAGGAGGAGCCCCCCAGGCTCCCAGACCTTCTCCAGTGTCTCCTATCTGCCCAGGGAAGGGACAGGGTACAGGGAGACCTTCCTTCAGCTCAGTTCCCTCTCTCTCCCCTGCTGTTGGCTTTGCTCCTTCAGCATCCCTCCCCTCCTGCCCCAGCTGCTTCTGGGGATCACAGGCAAAGCTGCCTTCAGCCACCGAACACACAGCTGGAGACAGAAATAAAGGAATAAAAACTGAGATGCTCTCTGGTTTTGCTGGGGATTCTTTCAGTGTTGCCTTTGCACTAGTAAAACATCTGCGTGGCAATATTTTGCATATAGACCAGAGGTGCAAAGATGGACTGGAGTGGGTTATTCATTATGGCACATTTTCCTCAGACCCCTATCAAAATAATCTCAAATGCAACAAAAATATAGATGTGTGTCTATGTGAGGATGAGCAGATGCATTTTTTTCTGTAGTGAAAAAAAAAAAAAAAAGAGATAATCAGGTAAATTATTTCAGATTCCCCTAAGATTTAAAGCTGCCTGTTGCCTGGATCAGCATTTCTTGTTTGTCAGCATGTGGGTTTTGGCCCCAGGAGATAGAAATGGGGGCAGCTGGAGGTTTTGTCCCCAAAATAAAAGGGGGGAGCAATGAAATCCCTCTGGGAGAGTGACGGGTGAGGGGTGAGCCCACCACCAGCCCCATGGCACATGCAGTGAGCTGGTCAATCCCGTGCCCTGTAGTTTAACTCACATGTTTAGGAGGTTCAGCTCCTTTTGCCCTGATCCTGCCCTGAGGGTCTCCAAAAGGAAGCAAGAGGAGAAACCAGCAGCACCTGCCCCAGTATGTTGGCTTCTACCACTTGCACACACCAGACTTCAACACATGAAGAGACCCCACAGCCAACAGGATGAAACGTGGATAAGTCCATTGGCCCCCGCACCCACTGCTCCCCACCGAGCCATGATGGAAGAGCTAAAGTAAGGACATGAGGACGTGACCATAACCAGAGCTTGGTGGCCATGGCTGCAGTTAGCAAAAGATCATTTATGGGCCTGAAGATGCTGCAGTTCAGTTCCCAGTGAGGAGATGCATCCATCCACACGTTCCTTAATTTTGTTCAAGGAAGAATGAAAGAGAAGCTGGGGTGGGGGGAAATCAATATTCTGTTGAACGCACCAGGCCCATTATTTGTTCCTGATTTATTTATTACCTCCACAGCTGCCGGTTGAGCTGGCGTGGCCTGGTCCTTGTTCTGCCCACACCTAAGCCCTGGTAGGCTTTGAAGGGGAGCCAACGTGCCCTATGCGTCATAGCACTCGAGGAAGTGGGGGGAGGCACCTTGCAGAGCTTGGGGCAGGAAACCAGTGAGGTAGGTAACACGATCACATTCTGAACAGCAGGATTTATCGGAATTTGTTTTAAAGATGCTTCTTTGGTTCTTCTTCCCCTTTCTTTTGTCTAAAGGTGGTGAAACAGCAACAGCACAGACCAAGCGTGATGGGTGATTCTGGTTCCTCATGTATGTGGTCAAGGCATAAGCAGAGCCTCCCTTCAGAGAAAGGCACAGCATGTTCTGGGAAGCCAGAGCTCACAGGTGAGTTTCTTGCTGTCCCCAGGGTGGCTTTGAGACCCACTCTGGTCCCCTCAGATTCATCTGGAATCACATTTCATCTTGGAAGCAGAAATGCTATGGACGTAACCAGAAAATCTATGCAAGCAGGGCAAATGCCCTGGGTTCGACACTGGCTTCTGCACTGTCCCTTCTGTGAGTATTTCATACTTTCTTCTGTGCCCCCACAGAGACTGGGGCTGTCAACCCAAGCAGCCATGGGCCGCAATTCTCCATGTCACCAGTGCCAATCATGGCCATGAAATGGGGCAGTCCACGAGGATTTCACAACTTGGTGGGACACCCTGGTCCACCAGCCTCCCCAAAGGCACAAATTTGAGAGGGGCAAAACATCCCCAAGAGCTCAAGACACCAAGGAGAGCTGGTCCCAAGAGACAAATAAATAGGTTTGCTGGAAGAAAGACCTTGCCACCCAAGACCCATCGCCCTGGTACTACAAGGAGCTTTGTGGCAAGATCAGTCTGTAATTATCATTCTTTTTTAATGGTATCTGTTTTAAAACCAGAAATGGTGGGGGTGGGATTCACCTTCTGTCCTGCCAGTTGATCACAGCACGGGGTTGTTCCTATGTACAAGTGGAGGAGAGGTCCCCTCGAAGAAGAGTCCCAGCTGCCCTTGGAGACACAGCAATAGAGGCAGTCCCTAGTTCTGGTGCCGCTTCATGTGCAGTGCCAGGTGGTCAGAACGAGAGAAGCACCGGCCACAGGCCAGGCACTTGAAGGGTTTGGCACCTGTGTGCTTGCGGTAGTGCCGGGTCAGCTCATCGGAGCGGGCGAAGCGCCAGTCACAGCCATCCCAGGTGCACTTGTAGGGCTTTTCACCTGCAGGGAAGAGCCACAGATCACCATCAGAACACAGAAGACAGCACGGCCACCTGCCTGCCCAGCTTGCCCTGCGCCCATCTCCTGCTCCAGTACGGCTAAAAGGCACTTGGGGCTGCCCCACTTCAAGACCACAGTGATGATCTGCACTAATAAATGTCACTGCCATGGGAAGTCAGTACCTCAAGCCCGTTGGATATTGGAGCATTTCTGTGTACAAATCTTCCAGAGCTCTTTCTCTTTTTGACTAAAAAGCCAAAAATTGCTATTTTTGCTGTTAATGTGGGATAAGGGTGCACCATGAAAAAAAAGAGGCTCCTCAGAGCCTTGCATCTTGGAAGCCACCACCCAGTTTTCCCAGCCCTGCATTAGCTGGACGCTGAGTTTTCCTGGGATCATCAGGCATGACATAATGCCTCCTCCCCACACACACACCTATTCCCCAACCGAAATCAATGGCATTATGCAACCCCCTGCCAGCTGGGAACTGGGTTGGAGAAGCCCGTGCCCGCCAGCAGTTCCTGGCTACCGCACTGAACCCTGGCTGCAGCCCTCTCCCTGCTTGGGTGTGGTGCTCTCAAATATTAGCCCTCACTCTTAACAGCCTGAACAAGCAGGCAGAGTTCAGGGAATGTGCTGACTTTCCCGACCTCAAATATTTACTGTTTCATCGGCCAATTGCTGAGCGCACCATCGCGGCATGAAGGCACGCACGCACGCAGCGTGCATGCATGGGCATGTGCACAGTGCTCCGGCACGCTCACCAGCAAACGGCCTGATCCTCCCCCAGCCCTGCTGCCAGACGGGCTGCGGATTTGGCTGGGAAACAGAAAACACACGGCCGTAGCAAAAGCAGCAGCCTCCAACACACACCAGACCAAATACTCTAGGGTTGAATGCACAGGGGTGGATCTGGAGGAGACGGGGTGCTAAGACGACATCCTGCTCCCCAAAAAGCTCCACACGGTGTGTTTTTTGATGGGGGGTAAAGGCAGCACTTGCAGTCACACTTGAAGGCAGGTGCAGGGGTCTGTCAGCAATCATGCTGGCATGTGAAAGCGAGATTTGCACTGTGCAACCACAGACATTGTCCCAGGCAGGTGACCTGGCTGGGTCAACCCCACCAAGGCCCTATAGCTTCAAACAATACCAGGTTGAGCTCCAGAATGGAGGGAAAATGCTTTCCATTGTCCCGTGAGCTGGCTCCATCTCCCAGGACAGCACGGCAGGGCAAGCTCAAACAAAGGGCCTGAGCTGGCATTCCCAGCCCTGGGGGGCGGGGAGCAGATTGGTTATATATTTAATCTCACAATGGCACCCAGGAAATGAATAGTGTCTCCAGGAGATGAATACAGCCCAGCCCATGGCAACGGACAAACTGCAAGAAAAGACCTGAGTAATGGTGTGCTCCCACGGTCTTAACCCCTCCTGGCAGAAAGAACAGATCTCAAAAACTGAATGCAGACACCCTGAGTTTGCCTGCATGTAGCCTTCAACTTTGGGTTCCCATTTTTTGGCCACCATTGGCAGCTCTCCTGGAGGCTCAGGTCACTTCCTGGGCCCCCTGCCCTTCCTCCTGCAGCAGGTGAGCTGGAAGATGGCAACCAACCTTGGTTTCCTGCCTTGTTACTGGGAAACACGGAAAAATGACTGCACTTTATTGGGTTCAAAAACCACCCAAGTTTGCCTGGATACATCTTTATAGCGTGGTTTGTAGGGACAACGTGTGTCTCATATAAGCTGCATCCCTAAGTGGTGCTTCAAAAAGGAGAGGAAAAAGAGAGATTTAATTTTAGAGCCAGACCCCTCATGTGGCCCCAAGCGCAGATCACCGTTGTGACCAAGGTTTATCGGTGCTGGGACAATGTCCTTCCTGCACGTCTCTGCCACCCCTTCCGTGTCGCTCCCTGCCCAGAAATACTGAACCTCATGCACAAAGAGAGTCTTCTGGCCAGCTTGTGGGAAGGGCTGATAAGGTGGAAAAGGAACGGAGCCAAGTACAAGAGCTGATTCCCAGCCTCAGGATGGGTTTTGTTCGTTGTTCATAAAAAAGAAAAGTGAACTCTGGGCCAGCTTAATTGCTTTCAGTAAAGATCAGCCCTCCTATAAAAGAGATTTATGAGGGCACTGATGGTTCCTGGACTACCTGGTGATCTGATAAAGTTTCAGGTATAATAAATACCTTAATGAGGAGACCTGTGCTTGAATGCACAAGTGAGCTGGGTCTGCTGCAGGCCAGCTGGCTGTGGTGGGAGCACGGGGACACCAGCCCTTGCCTCACCTCAGCACCCTCACCCTACAGTCAGAGGATGGCCACCAGGCAGCAAGCAGTCTCACAGAAGAGATGAGCTCACTATGAGCCCAGAAAATCCAGCTTGGGAGCCATGGACACCTCTTCAGAGGTCAAAGATTTGCACCACGTGCCAATAAACAATTTTTCTGTTGGCTAGGCAGGATCTGAGCTGGCCAGGATTTGTGAGATCTGGAAGGAGGATCCTTCAAGCCACACATGACAGAGGACTGGGGACACCTCCTCCTCCCAGCCCACTGGGAGAGCCTCCTAGGAGTTTCCTGTGTCCTAGACTATCCCTCCAGAAGGCAAGCAAGCTGCATAAAGTTTTCAGAAACCAGTGCAACCATTGGATTTTTGTTACCATTAACATCAATAGGCTGTCCTGACAGCCACCCCAGCTCAGGGCTGGCAGGGTTTGCTGGCAGGATTTGGTGCTCTTACCTGTGTGAGTCCTTTGGTGTGCCTTCAGGTGGGAGCTCTTGGTATACACTTTCGTGCAACCTGTGAAAACAGCAAAGACAACTTCCCAGTGAAAAAGGGGCTCCTGTTGGAACAAACCTAGAACACTCATGTTTGGGATTAGGGACAGAGTGGGCCTTTTCAGCACACTGAGTAGCAGGATGTAAATAAGCCTGGACATCTCCATTCTGCTTCAGCAATACCTAAAGACGTTGTTCTTGTTCTCCAGCACAGACAAACACTGACAACTCTCCATCTCTTGCTACACCATGACGCTCATAGGCACTGTGCTGGGAACAGTAGGGGATAAAGCCAGACCCCAGCTTTCAGAACTTCCCTGGCCTTCCAGGCAGGATGGAAATATCAGATTCACCACCACAAGCTGCGAGCTGCTGCTCTGGGCTCCAGAGACCACTGGTACCACTATGGTAAAGTGGGAGGGAAAGTGGGCTCTGCAACAGACTTAGCAGGCATGATGAGGCCGGTTCCCGAGAGGCACAAGGTGGGACATTTTTCAGATTAGCACCATTGAGTTAATCAGAGAAAGGTTCCTAGCAGAAACATTGTGATTTTGGCAAGAGTTTCAACAACAGCCACTGCCCAATGAATGACTGCCCATTGTTCCTTTCACCTGGTCTGAAGAAGCTCCTCATGCTGCCTTTATGGCCCTGCTTCATTTAGTTTTGACATGAATATTAAAATATAAATTTGAATTTTTATTACCCTTCTAATCAACATGGTCATATTTTTTCTTAACATGTTTCCACATCATCTCATAAAGCCTTGTGCTACTTCCCCGTTCACTTGCAAAGTACAGTTTATTTTCCCAACGCTGGCATTGCCACCAAACTAACACCACACCTGCAGATACTATTTGCCATCCTGGAGAGCAGCATCCCTCCCCACTGGACTTTGCAGACATTAAGAGCAGTCATCATTCCAAGTGAGATGGAGTCAAAAAAAGGCCTGAGCTCTTAGGAAGATTTCTCTGAAGGCCCCCAGCAATGCACTGTATACCTCTTCCCACCAACAGTCTTTAAGCAGTTTTGGGTTAGACCTTCATTTTCCAAACCTTTCATATGCCAGCAGAACTCTCAGCAGCCCAGATCCTTTAGCACCACTGCTCGTAAAGACTGGGGCATTACAGTTCCCAACCTCTGCTCCCCTTTGTTGGAGAAACACACCTGTGCTCAGTCACAGCTTTCCAGCAGAGAGAGGACAGAGACGCTGAGCACACCCCATGGAGCCCAGTTTAACTAAAACTTTTTGGTTTTTCAGAAAAAGATGTCTCTAAAAGAGAGAGTGTTCATTCAGCTAAAGGAGAAGCAAGTAACTTCTGGCTGGATCTACCAGCTCCTGATCAGCAAGGACACATGAAAGTCACTATACCCTCCCAGTGGCAAAGCTCCTAACAATGAAAACCAAAATGACTGATCAACACTTTCAGTTCTGGCAGTTCCCTTTATTGTGATGGGCTATCCCAGGTTCCCTGTGGCCCACAACCCCATTAGCCAAGCAGGAGGGCAAACAGCCAGTTTGTGCAGAAGAAAGCCCACCTGGACATCACTTTGCCCTTCCTCTATCCCTTCTCAGCTTCCAAGAAAAGCTAACATCTGGCAAAAGGCTGAACACTCAGTAGAGGGAATGTTTTTTTGTTTTTGTCTTTTGTTTTGCTGTGGCACAGTCTGTGGAAGTCCCTGTCACAGTATTTGCTTGCAACAGGTGCTTCAGAAAGTGAAGGCCAATCTCTGCATTTCAGCTTCTCTCTGTTTGCACTTCTGCCTTGATGCAAACAAGACTGAAACAGGCCAAGCTCTAAGCAGAAAGGAGGTGAGCTAGTGCCTAGGGCATAAGACTGGGAAACAAGATGATCTTTTTTCACCATCTACAGGACCCTGCTTGGCCCCTTTTGCTAAAGAAGAGGTCAGGGTTGAGGATTCCCCATTCTTTCTCTCCCGTACTCTTAGAGCAGCCAGTCTGGCTTGTAGGGGAGCTGCACCTTGGTAATACGTCCTGAAGGACATGACTCTGACCAATCCTGACTGAAGCAGAGGAGCAGCCTCCATCCCAGAGCCATGGTCCATCCACACCACCTCTGTCCTATCTCCCACAACTGTGAGCAGGAGGCAGACAATTCAGCACATGCTGCTAATTGCAAAAATATGCAATTAGCTTTCAGCAAAACATCAGAATCATAGAATCACCTAGATGCCGTACCTGAGGCCACTGATGGGTATGATTCTTTTCTCTTTGCAAAGGAAGAGAATTTGGGTGCCATAAAGAGACTAAAAATGTTGCTCATGGAAATCAGTAGATGGTTTGCCACATCTCATGGGAGGATGGGAATGGAAAGTTAGACAGGAGGCATGGTTTTGCCCATGTAGAGTACAGTGGACTCTTAAGGCAGTTGGTTTTTGGGAGCATCCCCATGCTTGGATAGCACCCTCTACCTCTCAGAGCCAGGCTTGCTACTGCCAGAGTTGGAAAAGGGAAGGGAGGAGAAAATGCATCAATGGGAGCAGACAGGACCAGCCTCTTCTACTCCCTTGGTGGTTGGAGGACCTTGCTTCCCTGGGGCTTTCCACTCAGTGCCATGTCACCTTTCTTCACACAGACAGAGTGATTCCTGGTCAATCTCCAAGCAGCCCGCAGTCTCCCTGTGCCAAGAAAGGATCCCAAAACCAAGACAAAACAGTGAAAATACCTGGGTAATCACAATGATGGATCCTCCTTTTCTCCAGCTCAGGGTTGTTGCGTCTGTTATATTTGAGGGTCTGCATGACAGTGTGCCCTTGGCAGAGGGTTCCAAGGCTGCTGGGGACTGGAGGGACCTGGGATGACTGGACCAGCTTCAGTCCAAAAGTAGCTTCATAGGATGGTGGGGGAGAGATGGTGTTGATGAGCTCTGGTTGATTTTCTGGGCTGCCAGGCTGCGAGTTGGGGGGTGAAGGTGGCAGGTTCACCCCTGGCACAGAATAGAACTGCCCTGAGATGTTGAAATTTTCCTGTCCTTGGGAGACATGTGGGTACTGCTTAACTGGCCCTCCAGCCTGGACATGTCTGTGAAGCACACTGGACATGGCGTTACCTGTGGACATGGTGACACCATTGAGGCTGTTAATGGCTGTGGTGCTGTTTGAGGAGGGCGTCAGGTTGGTAAGATCAGCGTTGCCATTGCCAAGAGGCATCTGATAAAACTGGGCTTGCTGTGAACTGCTGGATAGCGAGATATCAGAAGGCATCTCCTGCTTGATGAAGATGTTGTTGACTGCCACTGACTGGGGCATGCTAAAGACACTGGTGAAGTCAGGCAGGGTCTGCGTGGAGCCTGATGTGGAAGAGCAAGGCTGGGAGAAGCTGGTGCCAGGCTCCGTCTTGATCTGCGTGAATGGTGCCATGGGTTTGGGGGATCGGTAAAGTCCAGTGCGTAAGTGCGTGGTGTCGGGCAGGATCACATTGATGTTCACGCTGTAAGGCGTGGAAGTGGGTTTCTCTGTTGAGAAGAACTCATCTACCACAGAGGCACTCTCCCGGCGGTATTTCTTGTCTGGTATCATGGGGATGGGGGGCATCTGGTTGGAGAGGTACTTATCCATTTCAGATCGTCCCTGGGGTGAAAAATACAGGGAACAGAATTTGTGAAGAACAAGCTTTATAGGAGTTCAATGTTCAGTGTGTATTAGAGGGGAACCAGGAGAGCTACTAGCCCAGGTATCAGGTGTTGCAGCGATCAGCTTTGCTCTCTGACTCCCAGAAATGATGTCACGCTGTCCTCTGTCCCACTTCCCTCCTACCTACCTGCAGTGGTACCAAAGGCTGAGCAAGGCCAAGGATGCCATCATGAAAGAAGTTCATCTTGATAATGATGAGGCTGGAGATATTCAAAACCTGCCTGGACACTTGCCTGTGTAACCTACTCTGAGTAACTTGCTTTAGCAGGGTGGCTGAACTAGATGATCTCCAGAGGTCCCTTACACCCCCTACTATTCTGTGATTCTGTGATTGACCACAGTTCTTTGGTCCCACAGATGGCAGCATCAAGTACTAGACATGGGATAAAACCTGGAGCTCTGCCCAAGTCAGCCTGGATGTGTTTGGAGTAGCTCACCCTAGACATGTTGACTCTGGCCTGCTTTAAACTCAGCAGTCCTCATTTTACTTTAGGGTGGACAATATTGAGAAAATTAATTGAGACAATTAATCGAGAGTAATTTTGGCTACAGTGCTAGAAACCTAAGTGATGTTGGCACAAATTTCATGGACTGTGAGCCTAAAATGGAAACTGCCAGGCATGCTGTTGCTGTCTTGTCTTAGTAAAATGACTCAGCCCTTGGCCAACCTCTGGTCGAGTTCTACAGCCTGGATTGCCAGGCTAACAGAACCTATAGCTCACCCACTGCTTGTCAGAGTTCATGCCTGATGTAGCATCCCACTGGATCCAGGCCCAATAATTCAGCAACCTGATGGAGCAACCCGCTAGGAAACTCATCCCCTGGCATTTGATGACTCAACTTTCTGCTCTTTGTGGTTAAATACACAAGCACTAATGCTCTTCTATAAAGCTACAGCCTTTAATTATGTGGTTATCCCTGTGTCAAGCTGATTGCAAAGCCCTCATAGACTCATTGATATGTAGAGGAGCTGGCAAAACTGCAGGGCTTCCCTGGCAGAGCCTACAGTGCACTTGAGGAGTGCAGGCTGCTCCCATCCCACACCCATTATGCTTGAGCCGAGGGCTGTGCTGCTGTGAACTATGCCACCAGGCCAAAGTCATCTCTGCCGTAAGTTCATTGCTTTTATCAAAGCTGGACAGGATCCAAGGTACTTTCCTCGCCCTTTCCAGTGAAACACATCACCTGTGCTTCCAGAGAATTCAAAGAGCCTATGCACCTCTGCAAGTCACACTGGCAATGCACGACTAAGCTGGCTTCCACCCAAACACAAGTACATGCCACCAATACATCCTCTTCTGCATGAGTGGAAGCTCAGAGCAGAGGACCCATCCTTGGGCGCTGTTCCAAAATCCTGACCCCTTTTCTGCTCCCCCCACAGCACCCAGAATGGGAGAGCCACACCATACAGGGAGCTGAGCCCTGGGTGCTGCTTGTGTGCCCACCCTGGCACCAAAGCGGACCCCTGGGTGGGACCGGAGGCTCCAGATGCCGCGCATACCTGAGCGATGAAACGGCCCCACTTGCTGGGGGAGTGAAGCAGGGGGAAGGCGCTGGATGCCTTTTACTTCTGCCCTTCCCTTATCTCTGGTATTTGAGTTTCTCACCTTCAGTTCCCAGGAAAGGTCTCCCCCCCACACTCAAATGGGTTCTTATGCAGGCAGGTATATTCAGTGGAGAAAGGACTCTAAGTTTGGATTCCAGGCTGCACTGTCACTAAGAGACCATCCATCTGTCCACCTGCTGTCACTGCCTTCCCCTGCCCAGTGTCTCCCATCCCTCTCTCCTCACCTCTACCTGCAGATCAAGGTGTGCTTGGTCCCACTCCATGGAGCCTCATAAATCCACTTCTGATCCTAGGCAGCCCCAGGGGAAAAGGGCTGCTAGGGCACAACTTCTCAGAAGAGCAATCAATCGTCCTTGATGGGACAGGGAAGACTTTCAGCCCTGTCCTTGGCTGCAGAATCACTGCAGGGGTGGAGGTTCCACCCTACTGGAACTTAGAGCATCACAGTGATGCTGGTGATGCTCTAGAACTTGCAGGACCCCAGAGGTGTCCTCAGAAGAGCTGTTTGATTTGTTTGTGGCCCAGGAAAACCTAGCAACACGAGGCAGCTCCTTGCTTGCTGGGCATTGAGCAAATACTTAACACCAAACCATTCACCTAAGCACCTCCCACCTAACACTTTACCCCAAAACCACTCTTCATTTCACAGCTGACACAAGAGCTGGGATGACTACATGCAGGGATGCCTTCCTGTCATGCCTGGGTGGGATCCAACTCAAGAATCCCAAATGCAGGTGTCTCCTTCTAGATGCTGCTTACACCACTTATCGCAATGGAGGAGATAGCCTCACTGTCACCCAAATGGCTAGCACGGGTAGAGACACCATAGGCAGGGGGAATGCACCCCTGCTAGTGGCAGGACCTCAAGGAAGGAGAGGGGAGATGCCACCACGTCCTTACCACCTTGTTCTGAATGGGCTGCTGGATGGCCCGCACTGAGGTGGGGGGATCTCTTACAGGTACCTCTTACAAACAGGGGCAGAAACAAGCAGAGAGAGGAAGGAAGAAAGCTCTTCACCTCAAGAGTGAGAGGCATCCGCTGTTCCATCCTCATGGGGTGCAGCTGTGGAACAGACAGGGCTGTGTTAGTGGCAAGGTCCTCCTGAAGCCAGCCCACCTCCCGTATCTCAGTATATTCCACCCTTGCAGCCCCAGCCAGCACCCCCAGGACATGCATTTCAGAGGCTGATGGAGGAACAAGCAGGGCTGCAGGGACAATGAGTAGAAACCTGCCCCCTAAACTGTTCTCTCTAGTACCCTATTTCCATTGGAGTTTCACCAGTGGTTCTCTTCAGAGGTTACCCAGAGCTGGGGAGCCATCCTGAGCAGCTGGGAGAACCTCCATTTTCCTCCAGCCTGGAGGTGGGAACACAGCCATGATACTGCCCTCCCTCTATTCACCAACAGCAATGTTTTTTTGGCTTGCTTTCCTCTTCAGAATCACAGGCAAGGGGAGGAGGGGCAAACCCAGTTCCCAGCTCATGCAATCACGCTCTGTTTTTTATGTCTTAATCCTCGCCAAGGGGTGGAGAGGGCCCTGACACCGTGTGTGCGGGATCAACAACAGCCTACAACACACTTTCACTCCACACCCTTCTCCTGCAGCTGCTGCCGCCTCTCAGTGTGCCATGCTTCTCCTCCACTACCATTCACCCTAACCATGAGGTTTCTCCAGGATTGTGGTAACGCCTCATCACCTCACCATAGGATCACTCACACATTTAACAGGCTGGACAATCAGAGAAGCAGGGGATGGAAACCAGATTAGACTTCACTCTCTCTCAAAGCAAACCAGCAAAACCAACTCAACTAAGTTTTCCCACCTGTGAGGTGTACATATTCTGAGAGCTGCATCCAAATGGAAGATTTTTCTTGCAGGTTGATGACAGACCACAAAACCACGTGGCCATGATAGGACAGGTGCCAAAAGAGCTGAGGACATAAGATCTGCCACCCCTTGCAGGGTTGCTGGTCCCATGGGCTGACTGGAAGCATGAACAGATGCTTCATGGTGAAGCCTCTGGGAGAGAGCTATGTTGGTTTTTGGGGATTTGCATCCCATCACCTGCAAGAAACAGCTTCAATATCACATGCACAGTTCAGCCAAGCTCCTGGGAGGGCAGCTGAGGACTCTGCGGTGGCTCACATGAGGCAGGAATGACCAGAGATGCTCAGCCTGTTCCCTTCTCCCCATCTGACAGGCACAGGCAGATAATTAACTATTTTCTTGCCTCTTTGAGAACTAAGCCAATCACACAGCCACAGCGCTCAGTGCACCTCAATACTGCAAGAGCCATCCCACTCTGGCCCTATGGAAAAAGACTACACAGGACCTTGCAGATGAAGGCTGAGCGACTCTTTGGAGGGCTCAGTGATCCAGCTTCCCTTATAAGCATTAGTAATGGCATTGCTGCAGATGAGGATGAGGCACAGGGTCAGGAGATGCCCCAGGCTTCACTGACTGCACTGACAACGGTGCCAGGAGTCATGGGTCACTAGCTCCAGCAAAAACGAAGCCAAGGGGAAACACAGCCAAAGCAGACATCAACAAAACCTCCATGCTTCAGAGGCATCTCCTCCAAACCGGGATTTTCAGTTTGGCCAGGAAGGGAATAGCTTTCAGTGCAGTAAAAATGCTGAATTTCTGCATTTTCCCCTCGAAGTCACAGTATTTATTTCTGACCATATAGGAGGGTCTTTTCAACCTGCCAGCAGAAAGAAAGCAAAAACCCATACAGACGAAGGAAAGGGCTCCCCACTCTTCTTCTCTCCCTCAAATGGATGCTCCTGTGGCCAGCAGACACAGACCCAACTCCTGCCAGCCTGCCAGCCTCCAACTTCCATAAACCCTGCAGGAGTCTCCTGCCTTGGAGGTCCCCATCCCTCATCTCAATCCCATCTGAGGCAGGCTGGGTAGTTATCAGGACACTGATCAACAAACCCAGAGCCCCAGACAAACATTTCTTGGCAAGACACACAAAAATGGGAGCTTGAGCCAACCAGGCCATTTTGCCAGCGATTAACCAGGAGCATCGTTAAAAAGGTGTGAGGCACAGCCAGCAGACCAGGCAGGAGGTGGGACATGTCTTTCCCATGATTAAACGCTTTCTAATCTGAAGTTGATAAATAACAAACCGCCATAGAAACATCAAATGTGGTCACCACAGAGGAACAAGGAGAGAAATCGATGTTTGCTAAACAGGCAACGAGCTCATGAAGTTGGCAGAGAGCAGCTGGGGGGGAGGGGAGGAGGGGGAAGAAGCAAAGAGTTTCTTCGTTTCTTGGCATCTTCCAGCCCTCCTGGCCTCAGCCCCCTCCTGCTCTGCAAAGTGGGGACCCTTAGCCCCTTGCCCACTGCCCAGCTCGGGGGGGACCTCCCCAAGCATTCATGGGACAAGGGCAGCAATGGTTGGGCTGTGGGATTACGTAGTGCAGTCTGTTTCTCCTGCCTGCACCTGCATGAAACTCCAGCCTCCAAGGGAATCGGCAAACAATGGGGAGGATAATCATCAATCAAAAGCCATGGCAAGTACCTGGCAGTGCCCCTTTAAAGGGACACGTTATAAATAGACCGTATTTATATACAGATTTGGTTCAATATCAGCATTTATTGTCTCCCTAGTTAAATATTGACTTGGGTAAATATTTGTTTCTCTGATCATTTGGTTTTGATATTGACCTCGATCAACGTTATTTTCTGTTTGTTCCTCAAGTCTTCTGGAACTCTCTGCAAAACAGGATTAGTAGAGAAAGCCCCGGGACTCTTCCTTTCAAGTTCACAGGGCCCAATGCCTAGCTGCTGCAAACAGCCCAGCACGACTGCAGGCAGCAAAGCCAAACCCTGGTCTTAGGTAGGTGGGTGCCACACGTTGGTTCCTCTGATTGCTGCATCCCAAAGAGGTGAGGAGCAACTCCTAGAGGTAGCACTGCCCCTAGAGCATTCAGCATCAGGTGCAATGGGGCAAGATTCATCTTCACGAGCTTGGGCCACCTGAAGTCTCTGTGCAAGCTCTTTCTGGAGCCCATGGAGATGGCTTCCAGGGATGATCTGCCCCACCAGTTTCCAATTTTGAAATTTTCACACCTTTCTATTTGCAAGTGCACCTCTGAGAGCAAGATGAGGCCACAGGGATGCATCCTTTTCCCAAATTTTGGAGCTGGAGCTGAGCCACGCTGCCCTGGAGGGTTATTCTGGAGCTCCATTCTGCCCTTGCAGTTGAACTACCTGAGTTAATTATCACCTCTTGGAACCGAGGGATTTTCTTAAGCCCAAGATTTGCCATCGAGGCAGATGTGGCCAGATGGCCTCTGGCTGAGCCAATAGGCAGCAGTGTTTCCAGCAGGCTTGCTGACTCTGTTTGCTATTCCTTTCCTCCAACGACTGATAAGGACTCGCTGAAAGGCAGTCTACCTTGGTTATTTATCACAGAAACCATGCCACCACAGTCAGTGATCCCAAAGGCCAGAGAAAGCAGAACTCCGTCATCTAGCTCCAAGGTCAAGTACCCAGAAGAGGGCCAGTTTGGAGCAGCCAAGTTTCAGGGGGCTTTGAGAACACGAGCAGAAATCTTTCCAAAAACAACGGCTTAAATGAAGTGAAAAATATCTACAATAGACCTTAGAGGAAGCTCTGGCCCTGCTGCACCATCTCTAGGCCTTACTGAACAACACAGCCACCTGGTCCACCTAGCCTTAGACAGATCTAGGTTGGGATGAGAGGTCTCACGTCAACAGTAGAGTAAACCCCACACTGATTTTCCCTTTCCCAGAACTACCAAGCACAAAACAATTGCCTGCATGGAGCCTGAGAGTGGGTAGGAAAGAGGGACAGCTCTCTCCTCACCCATTGCTCCCTACTCTGCCCTGGCAGAAGGACAGCCCTCTGAAATTGTGTCTTCATGGGAGGGGATGACATGAGGACACCTTCTTGATAAGTGAGTCATGCCTTTGTATGCAGTTTTCTCTTTCCAAAGTGCTGTTGCTCAGCAGAGGCTGGGGCCAAGCCCATCAAAGCCAACTGGAGGATTTCCATCAACCTAAGTGGGCACACGTTGCTGGAGGCTGCACTGGATGGACATTGGTATGGATGTTTTTCTGGAAAGATCAATGATACAATGCTATTTCAAATCCTGGAAGATCAGCCCCAGGCAAAACATGCAGTTCAAATGTTCCCCCAGTTAAGGCATACAACCAAAAGTTGACCTCCAAGAGCCACACAACCCCTGCTGCTCTCTTCAGCTACAAGCTGGCCCACCTGCAGCACCATTTCTCCATCCTGGTTGCAGCCTCTGTTCCAGCACTTCCTCTCCTCAAATCTGAATAGATGGAAGCTCTCATATGTTCTCCAAAATGGCCCAGACAAATTTATCCACTGCATGGCCAGTGGGCACTAGGCTGGTTCTTGAGCTCTCCAGCAGGTCCTGAACCAACTATGGGAGAGGCTGTTAGAGCTCACAGAGAGCTTCCTCCAGCCAGATTATGGGTGGGATTCATTCCACCTCACTCAAACCATCAGAAAGCTCATACTCATCACCCAGCCTCTTCCAATCAGAAGAAAAGATTCACATTCCCAGGGCAAGGTCTGACAAAGGCAGAGTGAGTCATCTGCTGCTTGCTGAGGCTTGTGAAGTCCTCCTGGCAATCAGCAAGTGATAAGACAGGCCAAAAAGCTTGTTCTTCCTCGTACAATGAGCGAAGCAGACCCAATACTCCATGCACGTCTGGGAGAAGCAAGGTCAGGTTTCATGTGCAGACAGAAATCCCACCATCTCTGCAGCTTTCAACTTCCTCGCCAAACCAGTTAGCAAAACAAAACAAACCCTAAGGCATGTAGAAACATTGCATTTGAGTGAGTAGGTCTTTGGGCCAACTTTTTTTCTGGGCTTGCACAGCACCTAGCATGTTACAAAGCCAAGTAAACACTGCCAGTATCACCACTGTGGACTGAGAGGACACTTAGTGCAGTCCTTTCTGGTGTGCACGCTGCCCTGCACACTTCCTGGCATCCATGCTGCCAGCACGGTCCTCAAGCAGCAATCCTCAGAGAGTGTCCTCCAGCTTCCTTCCCTCACCATAAACCCCCTCCTTCTACATTTTCCATGCACAGAAATGAATAGCCAATTGCTCTAATTAAGGGAGACTGATCAGGGCACAGGCTGAAAGGTCACATGGAGAAGGGTGCTGAGCCCTGGAGAAGATCCAGCAGGAGCATTTCATAGAATGGATGCCAGGCCCTGGAAAACATGAGGTATCCCAGAGATGATATCAAACAGCCAGTCAAGCTAATGATCAAGTTCTCCCAAAAGGACGATGCAGAGCCACCAAAATACCAAACACTGAAGACGCTCGCAATGAAACGTTCTGTTCTAAAATAACAACAGATTGAACAGTCAGAAAGGAGTGACTGAACTTTTCCATTTCGTTTAACAGATTTGAGTCATTTCCACCTATTAGAGAACACCATCAAACCTTGCATTCTTTGCAGGGGTTTTCATCAAAAGCCTTAACCCACCCCTCCTTTTGTTTAGCTCCCTCTGCTAGCAAAAAAACTGATGTACAGGCAAGGATGCCGTGAAGGGCTGGGCTGGCTGGTGAGCAGGCATCTGCATCTCCCTGCCCACTCCGAGATGGGCTCACATTTGTGAAGCAGTCGCCTCAGATATGACAGGGGTGGTAGTGGATGGACAACAGACTGCACTCCTACAAGAAATAAGTAGCTGTGTTTTTGGAGGCTGGAGGATCTGACCTGACTCTAATGAGACAGATCTCTTGCCATTCTCCTGCTAGTACTGGAAATACTACAAGGAGTAAGGTCATTAAATACATCTGAATACTTGCAAATCCTGTCCTTGGTGGAAATTCGAAGGTCTCTCATCACATTAAAAAAAAATTAAAAAATAATTTTCAAAGAATTCTCCAAGCATTTCTGAACTTAATGAAAGAATCTTTGTTTGAGTTTCAATCTAAGCTTGGAAGGGGCTGAGCCTCTTTGATGTGGGAAACAGCCCATGGGGTTTTTTTGAGAGTTTTCATGCTAGCTCAAGTTCTGAGAACATCTGAATTGTAAACACTGGTTATCCAATCCCCAAACACCAACAGTACCCTGTGACTCACCTAATTCACCAATGGAGCACAAGGAAAGCAAATATTCTAATCAAGGGGCTCAGCTAACAAGACGGTGGTAAGTGCGATTATTTGCAGTGGATGGGTTAGATAAAGGAGCTCACTGGACCAGGGAACAAAGTAGCGTAGGTAGCTGACCAAACAGGTTTGAGAGAGGAAACTTGGTAGTGGATGATGCACCGGTCAGAAATGAGCTGCCATAAACCTTCGTGAGTAATTCCAACCTACGTGTGCCTCCCACAGCCATTCAGAAAGAGTGATAAAGGGAAATCCGTTGCATTTATTACGACTCGGAGTCCCCTGCTCGCTCCCTCCCTCCCCTCCCTGCCTTTTTAGTGGTCAGAGACAAGCAAACACGTTTTCCTGGCTGATTTGCAACCTCCCTCATTCCGGGAAACAGCAGGAGGAAAGGCAGCAGCACACCTGCAGCCCCCCTGGCTGCATCCCCTCCTGCAGCCGCCCGCCAAGCGCAGCGTCCCGGCGGAACAATCGCCCTTTGTGCCACGTGCACAAAGCCACTGTGCTCCCACAGCTCAAAATTCAGCCAAGCTGCCTCGTCCCACACCTCACCACCAGGGAGTCTGTGCGTCTGGGGGATGCAGCAAAATTAAACCGTAGTGGTAGCGGCTGAGTTAAGCTGAGCTCACCACCACCCCAACAGGTCTCCTTGTGGGGAGATGGGGATGAGCCCATCCTCTTTGCAGACACCAGCTCAGTTCCCTGCAGACACCTGCCAAGCACAGAGACCACCAGATGTGCAGATCTGCAGGCTGGTCCTGGAGGCTGTGGGCACCAGTTGATCCCAGCATGATGACTCCAGTCCCCTCTAAGCACACATCACCCCGGTTCCAAGCATGCTGTGCAGGGCACTGGGTCACTGAAGAACAGGAAAGCACATCCCTGCACCTCACAAGACCCACTAGAGGAAAGGGAGGCAATCAGAACATATCCCAAAGTTGGAGGGGACCCACAATGACCATTGAGTCCAACCGCTCGCTCCACACAGAACCACGAATATCCAGTGTTTGAGAATGATGTCCAGATGTTCCTTGAACTCGGACAGCTCAGGGCCATGCCCACTGCTCTGAGGATGTTCCATGCCCATCATCTTCTGGGGTAGACCCATTCCCTGACCCCGTGCCCCTTCTCTGACACAGCTCCATGCTGTTCCCTTGGGCCCCATAGCTGCCACAGAGAGCAGAGCTCAGCACTGTCCTCGGCTCCCTGTGAGAGCTGCAGCTGCCATGAGGGCTCTGCTCAGCTCCTCTGCTCTGGACCCAACAGACCCAGGGACCCTCACACACCGTGTCCTCCAGGCCCTTCCTCATCTCTGTAGCCCTTGTTTAGATGCTCTCTGATAGCTTTACATGCTTCTTATCTTGAGGCACTCAAACCTCGAGGTGAGGACCCACCAGTGCAGAGCAGAGTGGGACAATCCCTTCCCTCGCCTGGTGGCAGTGCTGGCTCTGTACACCCCGGGGCACAGTTTGCCCTGTTAGCTGCCAGGACATGCAGTCGTGGCAGGAGATAGGCTGCGTTTTCTGTTCTCTCTTCACAACCACTTCTGCATTGGGTCCTGACCTCAGCCAGTGTTGCAGCAGGCCCAAGTGATCCTCCAGCATCAGCTCTGCAAGACCTGCAACCAGCGTGACCCACTGAATCACCACAGCCATCCTCAAATCCTACAACAGGACTCCCCTGTCAGGCCCCATTCTCCCCAGTTTTAGCAATCCAGCCATAGTGATGAGTCCTCGCAGCACCTTGTGCTGCTCACCAGCTGCACGAAAACACACTAGGAGACAGTTCCTGTCCCACGTGCTTGGCAGGGACCAAGGAACATGCCACCACCATCATGCTCCTGGCCATACAGAATCATCCCCTGGGTCACAGAGACCTGTTCTCATGACCTCACTTCCACCAGCTGAGGGGCAGCTCTCACAGGAGGGCAGGGTCTGGGTTTGCACCGCAGAGGACAACACCTGCACCCAAGGAAGGCAGGTGGAAAGCTGCGGGTGGCTCCAAGAGGCTCAGGGCACTCAGAAGTGGGGTCACTCAGCTGCCTGAGAGCAAACCCAGCCCAGAGGGATGCAGCCCCCTCTATGACAGCAGCCAGCCCTGGGGGTGCCGCAGTGGGAACGTCTCCTTCTTCCCTGGAACACCTCCCCGAATGCACCTTGGGTTTGTTTATTTACCTTCTCCCTCTCCCTTCTAGTACCAGCCTCTTGAGATTTAAAGGGAAAAATTCTTTTTGGTCAATCCAGCCGAAACTGGAATGGGAAAACATTTCTATCCCCTTTCTTTTCGCTTTGTAATTTGGGTCAAAGTAGCTGGCAAGGCTGAGAAAAGGGCCAAAACAAGTGCAAACTCCATGAATGCCCAATCTCCTCCCAACACGGATCACATAATGTTTCCACCAGCAAAGAGCTGCCCCCCTCCCCTTGTTAGAGCAGCGATTTGTGGAGTGGGGAAGAGGACTAAGATAAGGAGACCACGGTGGGCAGGCTCCTGGGGGCACTGGGACACGCTGTGGGGCCGGAGCAGTGACGGGTCACAGCCCTGTCCGGCAGCACCAACAGCCAGCCCCGTCCTGGCAAGCCATGGCAGAGGGCAGAGCGGGACGAGGTGCACCCATGGGGCAGCCATGGGGCTGGGAGCCGCCCTCCCGCCACCTCGCGGGGCCCCGCTCACAGCAGCACTGGGAACACGGGGATCATCAGCCATGGCCCCGCTCGCCCCGTGTGTCTGGGGAAAGAGACCGGAACTGCAGCTCCCATTTGATTCCCATTGGGAAGGACGGCCTTGTGGCAGGGAGAGGCGCCGGCACCCTAAATCCTGGTCTTTATCCGCAGAGAACAGTGAGGGGGGAAACACTGGGCTGGGGAATTTTCAGGTGCATTCTTTCCCTGCCATGAGGCAGAAATAAGACTAATAATCATAGAAATGCTCCCCTTGCACCATGCAATCCCAGTGTCTGTGGTGTCCCCAATGGCGCAGGGCCCTGGGTGCTCCCTGCAGCGAGCAAAACCCATTCCAGGCACAGAGCTCTGCTCCAAAACTCCAAAACAGCAGCACAGAGCAGTGCAAGGAAGGGAAGGAGAAAAATATGAAACCAAACACGGCCGGGAGAAAGAGCCACAGAGAGGAAAGGATGAGCAGGCAAAGCGGTTGAGGTGCCGAAAAGCAAGAGAAAAAGCAAGAGAATCAAACCCCATATAAATTGAACAAAACAGAATTAAAGCAAATGCACGCAGTTATCGGTCTTCAGCCGGAGGCTGTAGCAGCCTACCAGGGGCCTCCGCCTTACCTGTGCCAGGTCAGGAGGGTTGTCCGGGGCCCTGGCAGGCGGTTTGATGTCCTCAAAGACGGAGGTGTCCTCGCCAGGCTCCCCCGACATGGTGACGGGCTTCAGCGGGGTGAACGCTGAGGAGTCGTCGGGGAGCGGGGCGCGCAACACCAGCCCGCTGCTCATCCCTGTGTGTGCCACTGCCAGGGACGGAGCTGGGGGACAGGGAAAGGGAGAGAAGAAAAGGGGGCGGATGGGAAATGGGGGAAAGGTGGAAAGGGGGGCGGAGAGGAAAGGGGAGAAGAGGGGGACGGAAGGGAAAAAAGGAGAAAAAAGGGGAAAAGGAGGAAAAAAAAAGAAAAAGATGAAAAAGGAGAAAAAGGGGGGGGGG